GAACATCCCGATTGTCGCTCACCTGTGGCACGTGAGGCACAAGAGAAGAGTTCACGGTATCTCGAAGTGACTCGATCTCCTGCTTGATAATATCTCTGGAGCCATCTGAGGCCTTTGCAACAAGCTCCGAGACCTCTTCCTTGAAGATATCAAAGCTGTTGACGACATTGCTCATGAGTTCCTCCTGGTTAGAAACGCCAGCAGCCTTATCGACGTAGCCCTCCATGTGTGCTCTCAGCTGCTCGAAGTTGCTGGCAAGACTGGCCGTCAGCTCCTCTTGATCGGAAACGCTGGGAGCTCTGTCGGTAGAGCCCTCCATTTGACTTCGTAGCTGTTCAAGGTTTTCGGCGATACTGGACATCAATTCCTCCTGGCCAGAAGTGCCAGAAACTTTGTCGACAAATTCGTCCATGTGCGCTCGCAACTGTTCGAACCCATTTTCAAGGTTAGCCATAAGCTCTTCGTGACTAGAAGTCTCTATAGCTCTGTTGACAAAGCCTTCCATATGCGTTCGCAGCTGATCAAAGCCATCTCTGGTAGCATCCAAGACCTGCTCTGTGTCTCTCCCACTTGCAGCAACGTTCTGCTTCGCCTCCTCGGAAACGGCCTTAAATTCGTCACGCATATACTGCATGATTTCATGCAGACGTTCTACGATCTCGGAGTTGTTGTCATCATCACTATGAGGTACGAGGGCAGTGCTGTGTGTTGTATTCATGCCCTCCTTGACAGCGTCCAGCACGTCGTCACGGGTAAGGTCATTTGTCGAAGGGGCAATCGGGAACTCGAAGTCTTCGAGACACTCTCTAATTGCCTCGATGATTTCATCCCGAGAAGTGCTGGCGGGTGTCTCAACCTGTGGAGGTACGAAATGCTTTAGTCCCTCGACAATTGCCTGAAACACTTCGTCTCGCGACGCGCCTTCTTGACGTGGTGCATACTGCTCCAGTCCTTCCTTTAGGCAATCAAGGACTTCATCGCGCTCCAATCCGATTTGTTGAATTTCGATCTCAGGCTTGTAGTTCTCCCAAGCATCCTTGACGGCCTCCATGACGTCTTCTCGGCTCAATTTCTGCTCATGGGGTTTCATGGCTTCTGTGTCGCTAAGAGCAGTCCTTAAGGCGTTGTAGATCTCCTGGTAGTCGATCGCAGGCTTCTCTTCCTCGGATGACACTCGCCTGTGATCTCGAAGGCGCTGCGCCATGTAAACTCTTATCTGTTCCAAGCCTTCCTCGACGATCCTTGCTAGCTCCGCCCGGCTGGCCGTCTCGCTCTTGCTGGGAGTTTTACCATGAGAGTCATCTAGTCTCCTGCTGATTTCCCTCCCCATGCCGAGAACCTCGCCTCGGAGCTCCCGGACGAGGGCCTTAACCTCGGCTGTCATGCCTCCTCCTTGAGCAACGCTGTCCTTGACTGAACGGATGATCTTGATGACATCATCATTCACGACCTCGTTTACCCTGGTGGTGGCGGAAGCTCGCCGGGTTTCTTTGCCATTCAGCAACTTTTCGACTCTTTGGTTCACCACGCCGCTGATCTTGGACCCGGAATCATCGCTGCTGAAGCTCAGGGTCCGTGACTTGTCCGGCGCAGGCCTTCCGTTTGTGGGGCTATGCGAATGTTCGCTGGACGTTTTCAAGTGATGAATAAGCTCCTCTACTTTGTCCGCAGAAGCCATACCAGATAGTCTATCGGCTAGCTCGGAGAGACGGCCAACGATGGAGTCTTGGCCGTCTTTCGTGCTCATCTCCCTGATGATCTTTTCTAGCAATGCCATGCTGGCAGGTGATTCTCCACCAACCAGCGATGGAGTGCTCAAAATCGATTCTCGGTCAATGGATGCCGCGAAACTATTCGGCGACGGGATCCTTGGGAGCGAGATCGGTCTCGATATCTTCGATCCGGGTGCCATGTTGAAAGGCTTGTTGTCGAGATATAACCCGCCAGTATAGGTGTCTCGAGAATATCTGGAATTGTCCGGGTTCGCGTTCAAAGCCAGTTCGCGTAAACTCTTTCGGATATCCTCATCTCTAGCGTGCGTGGCGTCCTTGAGGCTCATCAAGTCGGTAGCATTGTCTCTACTCCGACGGCTGAGTTGAGACATCTCCTTCTGGAGGGCAGTCGCGATATTGGTCAGTGTAAGAAGCTGGTTGGAAAGGAATTCTGAAGAGAGGTGCGGCTTCATCATTGGTGTGGAGTTGTTTGTAACATTTGCCAGAGGTGATTCGGTCTCCCGCGACGAGACAGAGGGCATGTTTTGCAACGCTAACATGGTTGCAGATTGCGGTGGTGTACTTTCACCAAGGATACTCTGCGGTGGCTTCCTCGACGAGGGGCGAACCGAAGCTAGAGCTGGAGGCATGGAGGGCGTAGGTGTGCCGGGAGCGGTATTCTCCTTTTCGGTTGTTCTCGTGTCTCTGTTGCTATCGTGTCTGTCGTAGTCTCTGCCACGAATTGGCGTTGATGGTCTTGCGTACCTATCCTTTTCGGGAGAACCTCGAGGGGTCGAGTTCGCAGAGTCGCGATCTCTTGAGCCCTCGATCATCAGGCTCAGGTCTCTAACGCTACCTGGTTGCACGGGCTGCATTCGTTTCTGAGGGCTTGTCCTCTGGACGAGTGCGCGCTCGGGCGATATGTCAACTCGTTTTGTGTGGTGGGAGGGAACAAGGGCGTGTTCGCGCGCCTTTTCGGTCAAGGCGGCATGCGCAGATTGAATAGCCAGCGACGTGCCACTTCGCGACGGGCCAGGACCAACGCCAGGCGACTGCGGATTCATTGGTAGAGGGGGCGGCGCCCGCTCCGGATCAGAGCTATCCCACCTAGGATGGTTTGTAAGCCGACGATATAACCACATTGCTGATCAACAGTAGTAAGAAGGAAAATGAAACGTACATTGGGACGATAGCTCCTATGGATGAAGAATGTTGATGTCTTAGAGGCCGGTCGACCGGTGCGTCACGCTCGACCGGCGGCATATTAGGGTGAAAATGTGTTGGTGTTGTTTCTGTCTGATGGGACGGAATGATATGTCTGACTTGCGAATTTGCGATGCGGCTCGATGCCATCTAAGCAATTTTGGTTGTAGAAGACTAGCTTAATATTAAGCTTATCCCGTTTTTAGCGGGAATTGAAGAATTGATGTTTATATCAGTCAGATATGATAGATAAGTTGAAGTTGAGAATGTGTGCGTAGGTGGGATTTGATTGATTGATGATTATGATGTTGTTGATGGGATGAATTTGGAAGATTAGACAAAGAAAATCGGATCATTGGGTTCATCTAAGAAGGTTCCTGGTAATATGTGACTGACGAGCTCTTAGTGGCAGTTGCACCCTCTTACTGTTATTCCTGTTATTGACAGCTTGTCCCACCTTTGCGCAAGCTTCTTGTGGACAAACAAATCGGGCGCCTACCCAATCCCAATTAAGTTTTATTGATCTGCAACGTCCCTACGTTGTTTCCCTGGCAACGGGAGCTAGAGCCATATCCGCGATAAACTGAGCCACATGGGATGTGTGTGCTCTTTGCGTACCCGCGTACCCACGTACTTCTTTTTCTCTAATGACTTCAAATTTCCTATGCTCGTCACACCCATCTTCCCTTGCGGTCCATCACCATGCTGTACAATATCGAATAGATTGCCTACCTTACCACTCATGTTCTACCACATGATCAATTCGTTGGCTTCATAAACCTTCCATCTACCTACCTAGCCAGCTCTCTCATAACATTGCGTACAGAGGTCTTGCCTGGTCTCTAGTATCTACAACCTTAGCATGGAGTCTTTTCCCAGCTATGTTTCATAAGAACCCACTATAAAACCCGTATGTGCTCGGAATCCGCCGCTTCTATGGATTTTACCCCCACGTGCGTTCCATACAATTGAGATCAATGTTTCCGAGATAGCGACAAGTTATAATCCAGAAACCATCTCCCCCCATTGAGAGCATCGCATCTCTCATGGCATTATGACTGCCAACACTAAAGCAAGTGATGGTTGACCCAGCAATATCGATTTAATGAGTTGTTAGTTTAGCCAAGATATTATCTACGTGGTAAGGCTTGGATTCAAGTAATATTTGCACTTAAACATAGGAGTTGGTAATAGTAACTATCTTCGTAACCAGTTTGTGATACCTCTTCTTCTAAGAATACAACTTGATTAGTTCTTCGCTAGACCCAAGGAGGCACCTTGAATCAACAAATGGATACCTATAACCCATGTGATACCATCCCCCAAAGTCTACGACACCATTGAACATTCAGAATGCTATTGTCCAGGTTTTAGCGGGGTCTCCAGAATTCAGGCCCCGGCTTGATCCGAAATCCTGAACTCATGCACTGCACGAGATGGACGGGCGCTAAATTATTATATGCTTCAATGTTTCCATAAGCCCGAAATTTTAACGAACTCGAGCTCTAGGTCAACATATTCATATTATTCATATTATTGTTACCGTATGATTCAATTGCTCGGTTTCCGGCTGTCTTTCTGTTAGAATATGTACAGTGTGTATTACGTAGCTATTAGTCGTTGGCCAGACCTATGAAGGATCCATTACGAAGCAATAGACTATTGAATTCGTCACCCACTCTATCACAGTACCATAGTGCCATAGTACCGGTCGACCAAGCTCTCTTGAACCCCGCTATCTCGGTAATCTCTGTACCTAAACTCAAGGACCGTGAATTAAGCACCCACGGATGCGGAGTATCCTGTTGAAGTTGGCAGATGTAAAAATTGACCTATCAAGTAAAAGACTCGATTCATGTCCCATACCTAATCGATATTGAATTCGACCAACTAAAACTTGACTAAATACATTTGCGTACTTTATTTTTTGCTGTCTTACAGTGTATCGTCATAATACGACATCATACTGTATAGGGCAAGTCGACATGTGTCATGCGCTAAAATCCAACGCTCACAAACACCGCACATACTATATATAATGGTATAACGGCCGATTTGTCATATCAAGCGAGATATACCCAAATTGGTCCGTTGGCCCAATGGTAAGGCGTCTGACTACGACTATGCAACAGCTATGGAATAGTTAATCAGGAGATTCTGGGTTCGACCCCCAGGCGGACCTTTTTTTTTTCAATTTGCTTGAATTTTTGTTGATTTAATACTTTAGTTCAGTCAGTTTGGTATATTTGACGTTGGAATTGGTGGAAATGGTGGAATTGGTGGAAATGGAATTGATAGAATAGATGGCGTTTTGATTCATTGTGGAAGTAGCGACCGAAATTTGATACAATTTTTGTAAAGTACACTAACTGCCAAATGAATTTTATTTATGGATGCGTTTACTTGCATATGCATGTAATGCTAGCACCCACGCAGTTCTTCAACATACCGGTAGCTAGGTAGGTATTTAGGAGAAGCATCGCTAAAGTCCTACAAAAGACTCCTTTTCAGAATTTTCGATTGTTTACTTCCATGACATAGTAAATCTTTGTAGCGACAATTATGTTTTCAATATGATTGTATGAAGCCTATTGTATATATTTTGATTAATTAATTGTGTGGTATTCTTTGGCTTCCATGTCCTTGTGGTAAGTTACAGTTGAACTGCACCGTGAAGGATCTTTTGCTTGGTCACTGGTGTTAATTCCATTGAAATATTCTGTCTAATTGTGACTGCTAAATTAACCTACATACAGTATTACTACCTAGGCATACAGTAACCATATGGTGTAAGGAGTAACAACATTATTGCGCGGAGAACCTTAAACCACACTGCATTAGATGAGGTATCATACATACCGGAATTGTCTGTTCATCGACGTTCAACTGTATCTGTCCCTTCTCTCGAGTCTGCACTTACAATAGACTGAATATCTGACGCCATCATAATAATATACAATTAACTCACGATAGCATTACCAATATTACAATGTGACAAAGCAACTCCATTCCAAGGAATACTCCTCCCTATATACTCGTGGTTAATTCGATTCATATTTGTTACGATGCAGATGATACGGTAGGAATACAACAACATTGTTATGCAAGGAGTTCTCCTAACTCCCATCAATTTTACCCAAAGCTAACTGAATCGATAACCTTATCCAATAGAGCAAGAAGAATACCAAAAATATAATATACAAACACAGAAACATAGCAAAAAAGAGGTCCGCCTGGGGGTCGAACCCAGAATCTCCTGATTACCTATTAACTATTCGATAGTTTTTGTATAGTCGTAGTCAGACGCCTTACCATTGGGCCAACGGACCATTTTTGGTTGAAAAGAACATGAGTTATTCGCTCTTGTAAAGAAAACTGCAGGAAAAACGACTTGGTCGGATAATCGCCGGATATTCATTCGTTGAACGGGCTAAAGGTTAGCTAGGACGGCTAGGAGTAAAGGCGCAAACAAGAGCGGGAACCTCCTGGAGTTGCTATTAGTTAAAATGTAACTAAAATGTCTCCATTGGGAATAGGGGGTGGAATATATGTAAGTGATAGAAAATTGTAGTCATGCGCAATAACGAGAGCCTGAGTCTCCTGTAAATTTAAGACGTTGAGTCTATACGTAGTTGAACTGTCTGATATTCAAATACATGTTTGAAGACCGGATAAATAAGAGCACCGGAGAACAAACGTCTTAAACTCCATTGATATCTTGCTGACAATAATAATCCGAGTCTTTGCATCAGACCTTCCATCTAAGAATTCATATAGGTCCCTAATTAAGGGGGGTTGACAACACAAGGCCATACAATTATGATAGAAGGGCGACCAAAAAGACACAAGAACAATTTAAGAATCAAGAAAACATGTCTTTAGAGGTTTCCCATACTTTCTATTCACCCATTCATAGCAAGTCAAGGGACATCAGTAGAGTCGAGTTTTTCTTTTCAGTCCGTATAGAAACTCCATATCTACCCCGTTGAAATCTTCATGGCCATCTAGCAAGTCCAACCCTATAGAATCCACCCCTTGTAGTGCTAGTAAGTGTCCACGACCGTTAAAACGCCGGCTCCATCGTATATACATATAGCGGACTTGGCGCTCAGATCTATCGTTACAGACGTCGAGCATATTTCCATGTGCTCCTCTTTCATGCGTTTTGGGTGAGGCTCTTCTATTTCAACATCGTATCGAATGCCGGGATCAGCGTCTGGGCAAGCCAGAAGGAGAAGACCAGTTTCGGTCCGGTCATGAGAAGCTACGAGATGTCAGTGAAAAGAATATATATACACCGAGTAATGAGAAGTTCTTACCTTGGGTACTAATCCCTTGAAGAAACTAGAGAAGCCTTCATTCTTGGCCATGTTGGTCAAGATTCGGAAACCACTTTCGGGGTTCTCGAAGTTCCGGTTCTGGATACGGGTCTTGATAACGTCCAAGGGGCCGGAGACGACTAAGGAAGCAGAAGCACCGGCAATCGAGGCGATGAAGTTCTGGAACCACGATGCCTTGTTGTAGTCATCTAACTTGAAGAGGTATTCTTTGGTAAAAGCCGAACCACCAAAGAGCTGTTCAGTGTTAGTCTAGCACGGGAAAACCCACGCGATTGAAACGTACAGCGAATGATCCAGGGGCATTTCGGGCCGCAGTCCATCCCCAACCTCTATATAAACCGAAGCCCTCATCGGCGACGATCTTGAAAACACCTCGTCCTCGGAACGCTTCCGGGTTGGTTTGGCGCTTGATCTTTAAAACGTCCAGGGGAAGTAAAACGATCTCGCCGATACCGATCAGACTAGGATGCGTTAGCGAACATCACTGGACTTAGCTGATTCAAGACCCTAAAGCCTACCTTCCAGCGGTCGAGTGCATGATTGCCTTGCCGGTCTTCTTTCCGAATGCGCTTTCAAAGTCGTTACCGTAGTGCTTCGCAAGATAATCCCGAGCAATTGGCTGACCACCATACTTGTATATTCTTTGCAGGACCTGTGGGCGATATTTAGTTGCCTGTTCTTCCATCCAAAAAATATTTTTCTGACCTTGTAACCTGCGGCATAACCCAAACCCGGGAAGAGGGATATGAATTTGCGACCAATTGGTGCTGCTGCTTTCTCCTTGAAGATGACCTTGTTCAGCTCACTGGCATTCTTGATCTATATAACGGTTAATATCGTGTGACCTTAGGACATTATGTGTTGGTGGTTCGTACTTTCGTCTGATTGCTCATCAATCGTTTCGCAATGGTATCGACCTTTAGACCTATTAGTCTTGCGGCGCAATGGTTCAAGGTTTATCGGCACGAACAGGATGGAAGATAGCCAGTTCGGAAATACCAGCGGAACCTATTTTCACACGAGTTAGCTATTGTAAATTAAAGGTGCGATACTGTTAAAAAGGGAGTAAAAAAAAACCTACCAGAACCAAGGAGCCGAGCGAGATTCGACTCGCGCTCTTTGCCAGTGACCATGGGCGCCATCGTGAATTAATTTGAATTAATGTGAATGTAAGACGATCCCTTAGGTGTTCCTTAGGAAATATATTGTCTAGTCACTTAGATTTTGACGGACCAAAGAGCTGGACGAGGAGCTGCGAATATTGCGAACGACTGCGGACTCGGAGGAAGTGAAGCGCACAAAGAAGCCGAACAAAATTTCAATCGCGCCGAAGACTAGAAAAAAAATTTAAGATGTTACTCTGTAAAAAAAAAGCACTAAATTTTTTTTTGAACCGCACTAGCTGAGAAATCTAGTGGGGAGCTGGGGGGGTAGCTTCAAGGGTCCCTGGGATGATCCTGTTTATCGCGTCCGGCGATAAGATTCCGCAACTTAACCCCTCCTGCCTCTCTGAGAAGCTCTACATCAAAGAATTATCGTGAAAGTGGGCGTTAACATTTAGGAAACCACTTAATAACTACCGAGGTAGGATGCCGGAGATGATACTTATGACTCTTGTTCTTATTTGATGGAACGGAGGGATACGATAAGTATGTATATTCTCAAATTGTCTAAATAGGATATATCTACATATCTATATACATGATAGTATGTATGTAAAAATGTCGTAAGGGGTTTTAGATCAATACTTCAAATCTCAATATCTCATCCCATATCTGCGAATTTGTTTACAACCAACATACTGTGGTCTATTAAGACTTTAGAACTTAGCTGTAGACTAGAAAGCCTTTTGCTTTAGCTAACCTATAAGTACATCGTCCTTTATCGAGACATGCGATCCGATATTTCAACACGGGATATAGATGCCTCGTCAAATCAAGCCCAAGCTAACGCCATCATAAATGCAAAGACACTCTTTGAAGCCCTTAGGCCAGACCATCCATGAACCAAACGCCGCCATGCAATGTACATAAACTTTTCCTTCCAATCCTGGTATCAAACGGGATAATAAAATTTAGAAGTCTCTAAACACCGAGACGATGTCGTCAAGCCTTGCGACCTGGCCGAGGAGCTTTTTCTCAAGGTCGAGAAATTGGAGATAGTCGTTGTATATGTCACCTCTTAGTTTCCCCTCTTCCTTGCCTTGAACATCCTTGCGTTCGGCAACCTCGAGCACGGACTCCTTTTTACGACGCTCAACTTCTAATCGTTGTAAGCAGCGTACCATGGACTTGTAAGTATTATCCAATATCCGCTGTAGGGTCCTGTCGAGGTCGAAGAACCAGAAGAAGATTGTTCGAGCTGCTGCTCGATTGTTATCTCGGGGCACCTCTTGCACGTCAAGAAATCCTGCCATCTCCATCTCTGCCATCTTGACATGTACATCTGGTTTCTTCATAAGAGCCAAGCCAGGCAACGTCTTGTCATCAATCTTACCCTTCTCCCTGAGGATTCGGGTAAGACGTAGACCCCGACGACCAAACCGGTTCTCGATTATCATATCGAGCTCGACAAATTTCAGGTGTTGTAGTAGTGGCTCAAAATCGACTGTCCACTCGCCAAAGTCGGCCTCTCCGCAATGACGTACAAAACCCTGCGTGCTTTCGGTAAGGATGAGTAGGTGCTGGCGCATCTGATGTAACCGCCGTGAGCCGACTGGCGTGCCATGGTGCGGTTTCAAATCAGCGTCGTTATCGCCATTTTGATCGTGCAATCCGAAGTTGGCCGCTGCCTCCCCACTGTGATCGTAGTCTTCGTCATCAGATTCTTCAATTTCTTCCCCTTCCTCTAACGTCTGCTTAAGAGTAGAACCCTTTAGTCGCGGGGGATATCGTCGAAGTTTCTCCGCGGATCGAACGTTGATAGCTCCTTCATCCTGTAGCATTCCAATCCCGGTCGATACGTCGACGGAGAGGCTTAGATGCTCAAAAATCTCCTGGGTGGTGACGCGAGGTTCCGAAGGGCCGTCATTGTCATCTTCGACCTCAATCGATCGGTCAACTTGGCAACGGGATATCTTTCTGCTCAATACGGCAAGCAATGTCGCATACACCTTTGCTGTGGTGTCACCAATCATGTCCTCTACATAACGTTCGAGCTTGAGGTTGCGAAGTTCGACCGTGCACTTGCCATAGTTTACACGGAGGACAGTGTCAGACTGAAGGAAAGGTCAGTAAGCTTCATCACTAGAGGGGTTTCTGTGATACTCACTTCTTGTGCTATGATGTGCCTTGCTCCTGTACTGACGTATGCATCCGAGATGGTTCCGTTCGTTAACTTGCGGCGCTTTGGCTTATGATTAAGCATGTATTCATTTTCAAGTCTTCTCTTTAGGGCTGTGTTTTCACCCCGGTTGTCTCTCAACTTTTCTCTGACGAACTTCTCAAATTCAGCTGTCTGCTTGGATCCTCGAAGGCCGGTAGGGAAGTCTGCCATGAATTCTTGCTCGGCCGCACTTTTTAAGTCCTGTGGGGATTGATACATCATCGGCAAGACTGGCTCAAGGATACCAGCAGCGATGAGTTGCGCAAGAGTATCGAAGGTTTGTTCATCCGGGCCCCCCTCGCTATACTCCAACTCGGAATCATCTATGCCGTTGGTGATACCATTGCCGTTAACATGATTATGACCATTAGACGTTGTACCATTCACGGTTTCTTCGCGCGTGAAAAGTCCGTTCTTGGATCCTTCGATGAGATCTGATATCTTCGCATGACCTTGGAGAAGGATCTCATGTACGAGAGAATGCGCATGGTGTCCGTACTTGGTGCGAGTCATGTCGAGTATCTTCCCCGTTCGGACGAGATCGTAGGCAGCTTGGGGATTCGCCTCGTAATTAGTGAGACCCGAATCTTGGTCAGTAAGGTGGAAGATGAGGTTTAGCTGGATGAGTACAGCTATCCCGTGGCGCACTTGTCGTTGGTTTAGGG